GAGGTGAGCAGGCCTGTGAGCTGCCCCCCGTGGGCACTGGAAGCCGGGGAGGGATGGGAGGCTACAAAGCAAACGGAGTGTCATCTGTCCTGTTGTAGAGACTGTGAGTTGATTAGACGGTGGGGCGAGGAAGAAAGCCCAGGTGACACCCAGACTTCTTGCATATGAAGGGGTCTGAATTGAGTTACCACCAGCAAGAATGAGACCCCCGGGGGAGGAGGGGGTTCTAGGTAGTAAGACAATGAATTCAACTTTGAAAGGTGGGGAAAAGTGAAACCTCTAGCTGAATACGGGTTAGGGGTTTATCCCACCCACCCACCACCCGTCATCTATCCCTCCATCCATCCGTAAATCTACCTACCCATCCATCTGTCTGTGTGTGTATGATCTATGATTTGTGTGTCTACCCATCCAAGTTCTCCGTTCACCTTTATCTAACGGTCCCATGCCTTGGTTGTCTTCCTCTGAATTAGTTATCTTGGGGGCTCTAAATCGTGTTCTTTCCCCCCCTTTTTTTTTTTGCTTTTTAATGTCATTACTTCCCTCTTCTTCAGGGATACCTGGTTGCTCTGAAATGCGGTATATATAAACAGGCAGGATACGTGTTCATTTCTTCTTTTGATTAAAATTCAAAGGTTTTGATGGGAATCTTAGGTAGAATTTTCCCAGAAAAAAAAGTTAGAAGGCAGAAGACGGCTTTTCTTTTCTCATTAACAGTGATAGAGAAAAATAAAAAGGAAAAGAAAAATAGCCGTGGTCTAAATGGCAGCCTTGTATGTGAAGAGTCTTCTACAGACCCCTCCTCTCCCATCCGGGTGCATGCTGGGGTTTGTTATTTTGCAGTATTGCAGGTATTTCCTAATAATCTACACAAGTTATTTGTCCAATAAAAAATTAGAAGTTATAAAAATAGGGGCTGGAATGGAGCTCAGTGGTAGGGCTTTGCCTGGCGTGTGTGAGGCCTGGGTTCAATCCCCGGTACCACCCCACACGGTTATAAAAATAGACTGATGGTTATAAAATCAGACACATCTAATCACATCACTCATCACTTACGATTCTGAACTATGTGTGGACACAAATCCCTGGAAATGTGGTCCCAAGGCCCCCTGGAGCAGCAGAGGGCTGAGCCAGAGCTTCAGGGAAGAGAGCAGCTCCTGGAGAGGGCTCCAAAGGGTAAGCAGGCACTCCCTCATGTTTACCTTGTTTTATTCTGTGATATACCAGAGAAGAAGTGTGATCTAACAATCTGGGTCATTTTTAAGACTCTCCTAAGCATGAATAGAAGAGGAAGCAGGTTGCAGACACAGTCAGATTCGGCACTCAAGTTGGGAGGCACACCTGCACCTGGAGGCCACGGGGACTTCCCCACGCCCTACGCCCTCCCTTCATCTGCACAGAGGCTCACTTCTGACCCCAGCAAAAGTGCCTCCAGCATGTGGCTCCTTTAAGATTTCTTTTCTTTTTCTTTTTTTTTTTTTAGCATTTCAGTTATTTACTTATGCATTATCTATCTATCTATTTATTTATTGCAGTACTGGGGATGGAAACCAGGGGTGCTTACAACAGCCAATGGACAATGAGTTCCTGTACACTGTGGCACAGTTTTGTTTTGTTTTGTTTTGTTTTTTAATCTCTGAGACTCTCAGGTCTTCAATTCAATAGCTACTCCAGGAGTAGAGGTAAAAATACACGAATGTGTTCTCTCCTGAACATTTTATTTTATTTTATTTTGGGGGGTACCAGGGATTGAACCCAGGGAACCCCACCACTGAACCACACCCTCAGCCCTATTTTGTATTTTATTTAGAGACAGGGTCTCACTGAGTTGCTTAGTGCCTTGCTTTTGCTGAGGCCGGCTTTGAACTCGTGATCCTCCTGCCTCAGGCTCCCAAGTCTGGGATCGCAGGTGAGCGCCACTGTGCCTGGCTGAATATTTTCTTTTTGAAGTCTCAAATCCACATGTGGCCAGTCACTTTCTAGGTTATGATTCATGAACCAAGACCACAGTAAGAAGCCAGGAGATCCTGGTACTAGCCAGACTTAACACAAGCCACTCAACCTTGAAGGGCCACTTCCTCCCTTGGGACTTCAGCTTTTATTTCCCTTTCAATTTGGAAACTTTGTGGTTCTACATGGCTGACTGGCATGTAAATTGGTAAACCTTTTTGGAAAGTGATTTTTAAAAAAAAAAAAAAAGAATTATTCTAGGTAGGAAACAGAATTCCAGTTTTAAAATCATGTTCTCCAAACAGCTCTTATGATACAGAAATGCACATCATATAGTATAATTTCATTTGCAAAGTATATTTATTTGTTAATGTCATGCAAACCCTCCAGAAGTGTGTCCTTTAAAGTAGCAGAACACTGTTTCACTGTCAGACATGTCAGCAGAACTCATTTGAAAAGTTTAACATGTGGGATATTTTACCTTGTAGGGAAACCCGGGCTAAACTCAACTTCCTGTGTTTTTGTAGTGAACAAGGAAGAATTGGGATGTAAGTGTGGTTGTCAGACCGTGAAGGTTCCCAGTGGGAGCCTGGTGTCCCTGACACTGGACCTCACTTGGATTGTCTTCCTGGGGCCTCATAGAATCAGACCAGTTACATTGCACTCGGAAGCACGACGGCTGTAGGATGTGTGATTGTGATTGCACTGATCTGTAAGCATTTCTCACACTAGGAAACTTGAACAACTTACTAGAAGTATGTGTTATTGAGCCAAGTGCGGCTAAACACGGTTCAAGCTTGTGGAGTAAGAATGTGACAAGGGCGTTGCTCCAGCGCTTGGTTTGTGTGTGGCAGTGCGCTAAGCGCCTTGTTCACAGGCTTCACATCTACAGGCCAGGTGTAGAACCTCTACCACAGCATAGAGGACTCGCCAACTGGTTAAGGGCTCTCAGGTCCAGTGGCAATGACGAAGCCTCAGACAGACCCAGTCCAAAGCCTGGGAACTTAACCCTGAATCCCATGGCCTCCAGTGGTTTGATTAGGTGTGTGGGTTGGAGGAGTTTTCTGTGGATTCTGGCTTGCTCTCTGCCTTTCATAAATAGCGGTAATGCCAGGCGAGGTGGCCCACACCTGTAATCCCAGCTACTGGAGAGAATGAGCCAGGGGGATGCCAAGTTCAAGGCCAGCCTGGGCAGCTTAGCAAGACCCTGTGTCAACATCAAAAACAACACAAAACAAATAAGAGAGGCTGGGGATGTGGCTGAGCGGTCGAGTGCCCCTGGCTTCAGTCTCCAGGACTGCAAAATAAACAAGAGCAGTAGTAAACAGAAACCTCAAGAGTCGGACCCAGGGATTTCCTCCATATGGCAGCATGTGCTGGCCAAATGCCACGTCACCTGTCCTACCCACGTCTGGCAAGTTGTCTCTCCACACTGGGGACGGTGGTTTATTTCACAGGAACTTCCCAAAACCAAGAGCAGAATTAAATTCCGTCCAAGCCTCATGCTGCATGAGAGCCATGGGCCCTGCCTCGCAGGTTTTGGGCTTTGCAGTCAGGAAGGGAGAGTGGATGCATGCGGTCGTGGGAGGATGGAGGGGGCCCAGGGCAGGGCCCAGGAGGGACAGACTGTCCTGTGCAGTGGGAACAGAAGCAAAGTAGGACACACGAGGTGCTTCCCAAAGAAAGGTAGGATCTTCCCCTCTCCCACCCAGCTGTGCCACACGGAAAACAGGACCAGTGTTGTGCTCAGCCCGTGGTGCCTACTGCAGAGTGAAGGGCAGTGAGAGCCACAGCTGGCCATGAGCAAACCACCGAGAGTCTCACAGTCTCACGGCTCACCAGCTGCCTCCACTGAGCTCAGGCAGAAGAGAACTTGGCAAAACCTTATCTTGAGAGAAAGAAGCTCATGTTGCAGGACTATTTTCTTGCCAGCTATATACCCATAAGTGGTGGCTACCAAGGCAGCTCCCTGATCCCATCCATCCATCCATCCACCCACCCACCCATCCATCCATCCACCCATCCAACCATCCACCCATCCAACCATCCATCCATCCAACCATCCAACCACCCATCCAACCCATGGGAGTGCCCACTCTCCAGAAGTGGAGACCACAGTGGAGAATCAGGCAAAACCCTTGCTCAGGGGCTGCCTCGAATCTGAGAGGCAGATGATGAATGAGTAACAGACAGTTCAAGCCGGTCCACACACAATGCCGTCTGTGAGGCCATATGCAGTCTCATGCCAGGTAGTGATGATGGTGTCCCCTTCTGGTGACTTCCCTCCCGACTAAAGCGCACAGCACATCTGTGTAGCTTGGCCTTTGGAAGGCTGGGTTGGTGGCTCTTTGGGACAGTAAAGATGGGGTCAGGTGGGGGCAGGGAAAGAGCAGGCGAGGAGGGAGGGGCGGGGGAAGGAAGGAAGGGAGTTCCGGCTGGGCGATGACCTAGGCCAGGACCTCGCCTTCCAGAGGCCTAGGACAGAAGTCCCAACATTGTCCCTGTTTCCTCCTTGGCCTTTTCACCCACCAGAGGTGGCTGTGTGCAGTGGTGTGCTGGTGCCTGTCCCCACTTCCTGTGTTTTTAAGTATTTTTGTGAACCGATCAGCTTTATTTTCAGAAAAAGCAAAGTGTTAGGTTTAAATGCCTTGATTGATAGCATGAAACAGTGTGTAAGAATCTGTCCTCCGAGTCCTTGGCTTCTCTCTTGCAAAAGGACTTCCTTATGACTTCTCTGTCCAGCACTTTCTGTCCTACCCTTCCCTTGGAAAACCCCAGTCAGGGCCTGTGGGCTTGGCCTCTGCTGGGCCCTTCTGGGAAAAGCAGACGTGTTCTGGATTTGGACCTGGACCCTGCAGGGAGAAGACCCCTCACCCAGAATGAGCAAGCCCCCCTCAGCCTCCTCTGGGCCCATTCCTCTCCCCCGCCCTCTGTCCCTGCCCCCAGTCAGCAGAGGACCCCAGAACCTCAGCCAGGCCTCCTGTCCCTCCTCCCAGCCCGGGGCCCCCACCCCGCATCTGCGCTTGTCCTCTGCTCTTAGCTGGAGGCCACACCCGCTTCCCCTGAGCGCTCCCGTCCTCTCAGGCAGCTGCCCCCTCCTTGCGCCTGGACCCCCCATAATATCTGCGTTCAGCCTTCTTCAAACCTCCCCGTTAAGAGAACCGAGGACTCCCTTCACTGGGTTGACCACATTCAGCAAATAAGAGTGCAGGGTGTGCGGTCACATCTGGATCTCAGATAGACACTTTGTAGTAGAAGCCTGTCCTCAGTGTCGCACAGGACGCACTTACACTGAGGAACGATTCCTTGTTCACCTGAAGCTCAGCTTTCACTGGTGACTGCACCCATCTGATGACCCTGCCTGAGACCCCACATGGTCCTGTCGTTCCCTCCCCATCTCTTTCACTCACAGCTTTTGAAAGGTATGAGGACACCCACTCTCACCACCCTGTCACCTCCCAGGGGGCTCCTTGTGGGCTTCTGGGTCACAGAAGTCTAGCTCTCCAGGCTGGCACTTCTCAGGCCCCTTCCAAGCCACCGCTTTGTGGCTGAAGCCAGTGCACACTCTGTGGTCACTGCTCCAGACTCTTCCCAGCCTTTGGCTGTCCTGTGGCCACACTCATCTGCTGGAGCCCAGAGACCCTGCCAGGGGCACTGGGATGCCGCTGCCGTCCCGGCCTGCCATGAGGTGCCCTCTGGCTCTGCTGTGGCTCACATGCCCTCCGCTGGGGAAACCCGAGTCCAGTGCTGCCGCTAGCCAGCTTCTCCTGACCCCCGTGCTCCCCCTCCAGGGCTCTGTGGCTCTGCTAAGGGTTCCTCTGTCCTCCCAGATGCCTGAACCAGAAACCAGGGTGTTGCCCCCAGCCCCCAGATGAGGCTTGCCCAGCTCCCACTCTGTCCTCAGGCTGCCGCCCCGCCCTGGGTTCCTGAGCAGCCTCCTCACCCGCTGCAGACCTGGTCTTGCCTCTAACTTCTTCCACTGCGGTAGGGAGCGTTCTGAAACGCCGGCCTGAGCCACCCCTTCTCCGGCTCCCCCGTGTCCACAGGGTGAGATCCAAGTTGCTCAGCTTGACTTAGAAAATCTGGATCCCCTCCCTCTCCAGCCGCCACTTCCTTCTTCTCTTCTCCGGCCCCAGCCCCAGCCTTCTCCCTCTTGCTTGGCCCTTGGCTCCTTCTGGGAGCCCCTGCCCAGCACGTCCTTTCCTCAGCCTCCCCAGGAAGCACTCCCTCCCCACCCTCTAGCCCGGAACAGCTGCCCCTCCAGGTACACAGGGCTGAGCGGCGGTACCACCTGGACCAGCCCATAAGCACAGGAGGGCAGCTTGCAGTCCTCTTCCTGGCACACAGTAGGTCCTCAGTTATGTTGTGTCCAGTGAAGAAACTCTGTTCCCCAATGCGGCTCTGCTCAGGTTGATGTTGCCTGGCCCCTTGTCAGGAAGTCCCTGTGCCTTTGTGTCTTCACACAGTTCCTGGGGCAGGGCAGACACCTCCATAGACACCAGTTCAAGGGAAGAATCATATTTTGTAGTCGGCTCCTTTGATGAATTGGTCAAAATCAGTTTCTTCCAAGAATCTGGAAAAGACACGTTGTTTAAAAGCCTTTAATTTATTTTAAAACCTTAATTTGAAATACAGTTCTGAATCAACACTGATATAAAACAGCATTCATTTTTATGTGACTGATTAGTCAAATATTGGGAGCAAAAGGAATCTCAAACTCCCCGTCTTTAACATACTTTGGCACTGAAGTCTAAGTTTCCATTGTTTACAAAGAGTGGCGCCTCATTTCCTTATTAGCCTTTATGATCTGATGTTGCAATAGTAACATAAAGTTTTAAGAATAAGCTGTCTTTTTTCTTTGAAGATGATAGAGTTATTCATTGATTTTTATTTCAGAGCCCTTTTTAAAAGCCCTTAGTGACCCCTTTCTGGCCCCGCCACACAGATCACACCAGCCTCCACTGCCGGCCCTCATGCGGCCTCAGCTACCCACGAATGGAAAGTCTGCCCGCACAGGCAGGAGGCACCCTGTACAGCCAGGCCCCCTCATATCTAGAGTTTCCATCAGAGTGATATCTTCCACTAAGAATAAAATCAAAATTTGTTTCAAAAATAACCTAGACTGGTTTGGGGGCACTTGAAAACTCTTTTAAACTTGTATATTCCTATGTTAATTTATTTTGATCATAGATATTTACATTTATTTCTATTAAGCCGAACAGTTGAGTTTCCCAAATTAATCCCCAAACAGGATCATTTTATCCTGTTTTGATTTTCCTTATTTGTTAACTATCATTTAGGGGAAAAGATGATTCACACTCCAAGTTCCTGTGTTTTTCATTTGTGACTTTTACACATTATACCAAAATATACTATGATAAAGAGATCACACGGCCCATGTAATAAGCAAAGTCCATCAGACAGGCAGAGCACACTGGGGATTTTTGGGTTTATTCTCTGGGACAAGTAGGAGTTGGTGGCGTCATTCTGAATGCCTTACATCAGAGGGGCATGACCGGTTCCTTCTGAACTTTCATGGTAAGCCACAGAGAATGAGATATCTTGTGCCCAAAGCCAAGGTAAAAACCATGTAGAATTTACAGAGTTGCTGGGCACCCGGCCCAGAGAGAAGGGCACTGCTGTTGTCCCAGCTCCTCGGGAGACTGAGGCAGGAAGAGAAGCATCACTTGAGCACAGGAGTTCAAAGCCATCCTGGGCAAGAGAACAAGACCCTATCTCAAAACACAGACAAATAAAACAAAAATGTGAAAAATAAATCAAATCATCTTCACAAACCAGGAATAAAAGGGAACTTCCTTATTTGATCAAGCATGTTTTACAAAAAAAAAAAAAAAAAGCCCCAAACTGAAAGTAGTATAAGAGAATAAAAATCATACTATCACATTGTATTTTAGCAGGAAGACAAGCATAAGAAAGAACTAGAAAAGGAAGAAAATAGTCAAGCATGGTGGTTCACACCCGTAATCTCAGCAACTTGGGAGGCTGAGGCAGAAGGATCGCAGATTCAAGGCCAGCCTCAGCAACTTAGCAAGACACTAATAATAAGGGTGTACATTAGTGGTAGAGCACCTAGTCCCACACACACCTAAAAGGAAGAAACTATTATTATCGTAGATAACATGATGGTGTAAACAGTCAAAATAATCTACTACACGTTATTAGAATTAATAGGAAAGTTTGGCAAAGAGGCTGTCTACAATGAAGATGAAGAGGCTCCCTTCACCCCTACAGTTCACAACAAGCAAAACCATTCTACCAGTGACAATAGAGCAAACCCCCAGAAATAAACTGAGTGGAAGATGCATGAAACATTTCTGGAGACATTGTTTAAAACTCTTCTGAAGGACACTAAAGCCTCATCGAGGTGGAGGACAGTAGTGTGACTCTTATGGATGGGAAGACCCAGCATGGGTACAGCACCTGCTGCGTCAGGTGCTCTTCTCAGCACCCGCGTCAATCACCTCCTCCTGGAGAAAATATTAGCCCTCCCTAGAATGATCTATCTATAGTGAAGTTTCCTTCAAGGGATGGGGTGCAGCTCAGGGGTAGAGCTCTTGTCAAGCCTGCAAGAGCCCCTGGGTTCCATCCCTGGCACAACCAAAAAGAAAAAAAAAAAAAAAGAGAAGTTTCAATGGAAATTTTTTGGAATTCAGTTTCTAAAATTTATAGAGAAGAATGAAGGGTTAAAAATAGCCTCAACATTCTTGAAGTAGAAAAAGGTGAAAGATATGTCCCATCAGATACCAAGACCATCACAAAGCCACTGAAATGAGACAGTGTGGCATCAGTGCAGGAAAACCAAAGTGACAGTGGGACATAACAGCCCAGCAGCAGGCCTGTGGCCAATGGACACTTGATGGAGGGCAGAGGTGGCCTGGCAGATCTGCAGGGCACAGATGGAGCACCGAGCGAATGGTCCCGTCATCCCTGATCCCACATGCACAAAAGTCAGTTCCTGACAGGTTGGACTACAACATGAAAGACGAAAGCTCTGGGACTGAGATGTGAACAGCTATCTTCTTTTTTCGGTTTCTCCCTCTTACTTTTTTTTTTAATTTTATTTTTTTTATTAGCTACACATGACATGACAATGATCTTGGCAATTCATACATTTGAATCATTGGGGTATAATTTCTCCATTTTTCTGATTGTACAGATTGCAGAATCACACTGGTCATAGAGTCACCTATATACACACAGCAATCATAATATCTATTCTGCTGCCTTCCTATCCCCCCTACTTCTCCCCTCCCTGTGAACAGCTATCTTTATGACATTATTTGAAAGAACTTCTTTGATCAGGCAGCAACAGCAACCAAATGTGAACCATATAAGAAAAGAAAGATAGCTTTAATCAAATTGAATGGAGAGCTTTGTTGCTTATTAGCAGAAAGTCAAAGAAAGATGCCATTAGAAAGAAAAAAAAATCACAAAGGAGATATTTATTATATATAACCGACCAGAGATTATTCTCTAGAATATATAAGAAAATTATGTGAATCAATAAGACAGACAACCAAATTTTAAAAAATAGACTAAAAGCATGAGTAAGCATTTCATTAAAAACTCAGCGGTATATAACCATGTGACAAAGTACCCATTAGTAATTGAAAAAATGCCAAAGAAAGCCACAGTGAAATGCCACTAAGTTGGCAGAACTCAGGTTGTTGATGGCACGGGTCAGGGAGGATCAGATCAGCAGGACACTCGATGACTCAGCCGTGTGAACTAGAGTATGTGGAGGACAAGGCTGCACCCTTGGAAGCACTTGCCCCTCCCTGTGTAAAGATCAGGATTTTCTGTCTGTCAATCCCTAGCTGAGCTGGTGACTACTCTAAAGGCTGGTTAGTGTCTAACCAACTAAAGATGAGTGAAAGTGACATGTATCCCTTTCCCTTAAGACGGCCCATGTTCTAAGAAGGAGCTCCCTGCACCCAAATCCTGGAGTGAAATAACATAAGACAGAGCCCCAGCCATCGTGGGCACGCAGTGACAATAAAAAAATGTACCTTTGTTCTTTGGTTGCAATCCATTAAGATTGGTGGTGGGGTGTCTTTTGTTACTTCTGCATAACCTAGCAGGTCCTAACTGTTACCGTCACTAGCTCATCAAGCTGAGCATTCACATGCCCTAAGATCCAGCAACTCCACCTTCAGGAAGTTTTCCTAGAGACACTGCTACCCAAAAGAACATTCATAGCAACATTGTTGGTGACTGCAAAGAACCTGAAACAGCCCAAACATAACTTGGCAGAGGATGGATTGGTAAATTGTGGTGTACCGTCTTTGCCAAATAAATGCACATGACAACACGCATAAGTCTTATAAATATAATTTGGAATGATTACAGCAACTCACAGAAGTCTCCATACAGCACAGCATCATTTTCATAAGGCTCAAAAACAAACACAGCTAAACAACAGTGTTAGGACACAAAATTAAGTAATAAGTGATTTTTTTGAAGCAAGAAAAAGATTCCAAATTTCCTAGAGAGGTTGCCTGGGAGTGGGCAGAAGATGAGGAGGGAAGTTGCATTCTGATGGATCCTCTGATCTTGACTTTGACCCTACAAAGGGTCAGATATCAAATTTTTAGACATTGTGGAACTCTACAGCCTCTGACACAAGTCGTGCAAAGGTGGTTTTTGACCAGGTGTGTGGATGTAGCTGGGTGCCCATAAAATTTTATTTATGGACTATGAAATCTGAGTTTCCAATAATTCTATGTGCCATGAGATATCACTCTTATTTTTAACCACTTAAGAATGCGAAAACTAGGGGCTGGGGATGTGGCTCAATTGGTAGGGTGCTCGCCTGGCATGCGTGCGGCCCGGGTTCGATCCTCAGCACCACATACAAACAAAGATGTTGTGTCTGCCAAAAACTAAAAAAATAAATATCAAAAAAAAAAAAAATTCTCTCTCTGTCTCTCTCCTCTCTCTAAAAAAAAAAAAAAGAATGCGAAAACTATCCTGAGCTCATAAGCCATACAAAGGCAAATGGTGGCCAGAGGAGGCCATGGGAGCTTGGTGCCCTGCACTAGTGCTTGGGCTGGGTTGAGTGCCCAGGGGCTCCTTTTTCCTTGAACTTCATGCTTTTCAGGCATGTCCCATTGATTAATGTAACGGCTCAGAGGGACAATGGCAAAAGGTGAGGGTATGAAGAGGACCCCAGTCCAGGCAAAAATATTTAAATTCTGTGATGTCTCCTTCGACCCCAAACTCAGGGGCTCTCAGCATTCTTGCTGACAGTGGAGGACATCATTGTGTTAATGAGGGGACTAATGGAAAATCTGGTAGGGAATATTTACTGCTTATTCTATGGCTTATGGTCATATGTCACTTAGCACACACACAAAAACCTGCATTGGTTTTGATGGTAATTTTGGCTGGACCACTGCCCATGTGATTGAATTGAAATCTCTGTTTCTGTTTGTTTGTTTGTTTGTGGGGCTGGGGATTGAACCCAGGTCCTTACACATGCTCAGCACTGAGCTCCATCCCCAGCCCCTGATGGGATTGACTTGAAACTATCATTTTTTCTATGGGTTTCAAAAGCCTAGCCCAGTCCTGTTAAGTAGCATCCTACTTCACCACCAACACTGCCCCATGCTTCTGTTAAGAGTGGAACATTTGTAAAGGCCAACTCATTAGCATTAGAGAAGACTCATCAGGGGCAATGCTGGGTGCTTTCTAGTGTGACACTTTTCAATCTAAAAGGACATGACAGTGAGATCACTCAATTTCTCTGGCTTCTTTCTGGGTGAGTTCTGACAGCTCTTGGGATTTCACTTCACAGTTCACATCCTCCTTCTTCTTCTTCTGGAAACCGGCAACTACAGGCGTCTTCCTCTTGGGCAGTTTGTACTGGTTTAATAAATGCTAGAAAATGATGTAAAAGACACTTATGTTTGTGGTCTAAATCACATAATGCTTATTTTCCACAAATCACAGTTGTAGAACATTTCTAAGCAGCAAATATTCTCAGCTTTAACTTCAGCTGACTTATTTCAGAGTAACGGTGAGTATGAGCTTTTCCTGGAGATTATTGAAGACTCATTTCCTTTTCCCAAATATTTTATTGGTCTTTTCAAACTATTTTCTTTATTTTCTGCAATAAGTAAAAAAAGTCCTATGCGTGAGTGACTGTAAGCATAAAATATCAGCCATCTCCCAGGCACAGCTCTAGTTTAAATTTAGCAGTATATACTTTAGTTGTGGGGTTACTTGTTTAGATATTAGACAATTTCTCTTGAATGAAATCATGTGCTGACTACTTTAAAGACATCTCCACCACTTCCATCCAATAGTAACCAAAAAACGGACCTGTGCCCGGCTTCTGGATCGCCTTCTGCAAGTTCCCTTGAAGTGTTTGTGTTACTGCTGAGAAACTTTCAAATCCTAAACAGGTATTTCCCGAGACCTGACAAGGCTCAAGGCCTATCCCAATTTCACATGCTTGGTACTCTTAAAAAAAAAAAAAAACAGACAACAACACTGTCCCTAAAAGGCAACAAAAACTGTCAAGACCTTCAGAAATGCCAGGGAGTTGTCTTTTGAAATTGTATCAAAGATTAACTCAAAAATGGCGCTGGAGATCCACTTCAGGCTGGTGTGGGGGGACATGATTTTCCATAGCCTTGCTACTGAATCCCGCAGAAAACTCTGGACTTACATATAAAACAAACATGAGATGATACTGGAAGGTGGAAAGAAGCGGGGGGGGGGGGGGGGAAGGGCCAAGAATCTCAGAGCCTCGAGGAACAACCCGCCAATGAGTTTTGTGGGTTTTCTTTCTGCCTGAGATACCCCGCGGGGAACCCAGAAGCCAACTCCGGTATCCCAGTGGGCGTGGTCCCATTAAGGCTCCAATTCCAAATACTTCTGAAAAGTATCTTATAAAGAACTCTGCTGTCCCTTTGGGTGGGGGTGGGGACAGTCCTTTAAGGTGTGGGTGATAGCTGAGAGCTGTAGACCAAGAAAGAGCGAGCTTCAGAGTCGGAAGAAAACCATCTGCAGCTCACACGCTGACAGCAGAGATCCTGTGATCTACCAGGAAAGCACGGGCAGCCCTGGGAGAGGTCGGCCCTCACGAAAGAGGAACGCCAGTGGCCCAGCACCGAGGAGGCCGGCCTCAGGGTGGTCGGGGAAATGCAAATCAGAACCACAAGGAGAAGCGAAACGCGTGCTTAGGTACAGGATGGTTTCCCGCCCGCACTGCAGACAGCCCCGTCCGCCCGTGTCAGGGTGGGCAAGAGCTGACGGTGAGTCAACGGGGGGGGGGGACTTAAAAGACCTGAAATTGAGTGAAAACCGCCAGCCACGCGCACCCGCAGCCGCCCCTGCAGGGAAGGGCAGGGGAGCAGCCTCCCGGGCCTCTGCAGGGCGGGGCGCGAGCCCGCGAGCCCAGCTGGGGCTGGCGTGGGCGGCTGTGAGCCGAGGGCTGCGGACCCACGGCTTCCTCCGGGGAGCCAGGCCTTCTATTTATAGACCAGGTTAGAGTTTCTCCCCCAGCAGTTTGTTAACCTTGACGTTGATGCGTTTCCTAGATGCTCCCCGCGGCACAAAGGCTTTGGACCCTAAGAGTCTTTAGGTAAGACTGAAACTTCTAAGTAGGTGCCCTCGGAGTGCTCCTTCCATCCATGAACCCCTCGAGTTAAATCTAGCCTGTGGTCACTCATCGGTCCTCCGTGAAGACCAAGCACTGGTTGCCCCATCCATGAACCGTAAACTTAATTATAAACACAGCAGCATTTGCTTAGTGGGTGCTGACCCTGTGCTGGACACCAGCTGAGTTCTTTATAGAAATAGTCCCTTATTTTGACACCACATTTAAAAAAAATAATAACAACAAATAAAATAAAGTTATTTTAAAAAATAGTCCCTTATTTAACGGATTAACAAATGGAATTTACTACTGAAATTTTCATTTAATCTAGATTGGTGTTATTATAATCCACTTAGTTAAAGCCACTTTAACCACCGCCACCCCCAGCTCTCCCTGCCTTCCCCACTGAAGTTAAGGCCATTCTCTCCCAGAGGGGCGGCTCTTTCCTGATCCCCCCCACGGCCAGGGCGCCGCAGGCACAGCTGCTCACCCCCCCAAGACTGCAGCCTTCTTACCCGGCTTTTTCCTAGGGTCCTGCGACATCAGCTGCCAGGCTTTCTCTTGGGGCTGGGTCATTCTTTGTCGGGCATTCACCTGGCACTGTGAGCCCTCAGCAGAACCCTGGCCCCCCACTCCAACGGCCCCTCCCCACCATCAGCTTGCGGAAGGTCCCCTTGGGGATGGCGTTGTCCCTGCTGATAACCACTGTGCTGATCTAACCGCCTTTTTATAACTTTAAAAATCCCCTTTTCCTTCCTAGTAAAAAGCCTGGCCCCGGAGCGCTCGTGTCAAATACTGTTCGGTGGGCCTTACGTTGTTTGAATATATACAGGAACTTCTTCCTGCTCCACTTGACCATGGAGAGCCGGAGCACGAGGAAGATCAGCAGGAACACCACGGCGGCCGAGGTCAGCGCCAGGAAGAAGGTGAGGACCTGCGCAGAGCGCCCTTGGCAAGGAGCAGAGGAGAGGTGAGGGCGGGCAGCGGGGGGCAGGTGCGCGCCAAGCCCGGGAGAAGCCTTGGCCACCCCAACCTGCGCGCTTAGTAAACCCAGTGACTCTGCAAGAGCCAACACTGGGCCATCTTCCTGGAGGCCGGCAGAAGTTAAGCAGCGTGGCCTTTCCAGCAGGGAGGAAACTGGGGCTTGTGCCCCCTACTTGGTGCTCACAAAGGGGCAGCACTGGTTTGGGATGAGTCCCAGCAGGCATGCGTACTAACATGTCTCTCAGACGGAAACATGCCTGAGAACAGCAGATGGATCCCAAGGCAGGTGGAAGGCCCCTGCGGGTGCCTGTAGGGTGGCATTGGAGACCTCACAACACTGGGGGGCTTTCCACAGAAACGGGATAGACACCATACATTCACCTGGTTTTAACACAACTGTCCTGCACCCTCACAGGGACAGGCAAGGTCACGGAGCAGTTACCTGGAGAGATGTCGGGCAGAGCAGGTCCACAGACCACATCGCTGTCCTTCGTCCCCTTCTCACGTACTGATTTTCCATCCAGTGAACAGCTTAGACAGTTCAAGGAAAAGAGTTCAGATGATTAATCTAGTTACGGAGGACTCCAATTAAAACTTTGATACTCGTCACCCACTGAAGTGGACTTGTCATGGAGGTGGGGCTGTGTGCAGGAAAAAGTTCCACTTGACCATTTGGCTTCCGTCAGCTTTCACTCAGCTTTCGAGGATGCACGAAGTTCACCCCACTCCACTTACGAACTGGGTTTTTCTTCCCAAGCTAGCGATCCATGCCAGGCTCCCTCTGTTCAGTGACAGCACACTTCAGGCTGCTGTGCTTGCTTGGCCTCTCCCCTTCCCCACCCACACACTTATTACTCATAGTCACACATCGTGGGCACACATGAAGGGTCAGAGAAGGTTAGGACTCCCAGCATTTGCTTCAGACTCGCAAGGTCTGAGCCTGGACCTGCCACTTTACAGAATGACTCTGAGCAAGTTATGATGTCTTTCTGAGCCCCAGTTTTGTCATCTTCAAAGTAAGGATAGTATATGCTCGCAGGACTGTTACGAAAAGCAAATGGATGAATGACACGCTTCTGCCTGCCTGACACACTCAATAAATGGTAGCTAGCATCACCACCACCATCATCATCACCATCACCATCACCAACACCATCACCATCACCAACACCATCACCATCACCATCATCATCATCATCTCCATCACCACCATCATCATCACCATCACCATCACCAACACCATCACCATCACCAACACCATCACCATCACCATCATCATCATCATCTCCATCACCACCACCATCATCATCACCATCACCATCACCATCACACCATCACTATCATCATCACCACCACAATCATCATCACCATCATCACTATAATCATCAACACAACCATCACCATCATCACCATCATCATTGATCTGTTTTTCCCTCCTCTTAAGCTATCCCCAATCCACCCATCCTCCAGAGCCCAGTTCAATCCGCTTTTCCATACACATGTAAATATTCTGATCAATTTGTGTTAAAAGACCTTAAAAAAAGACATTCTAATCTGTTACCAATCAGCACATTTGTAAAATACAATAAAAATGTAACTGCAAAATTATAATTAAAATGATTTTCTAGTGAGAAAATCAAATGGAAAAAAGAAAGGCATATAGAAGGTGAGGCCCAGGTATTTGTTATCAGAGACCACAGGCCGCGTTGCTTTGCCAGTTTCAGGTCTCTTGAGTGTCCTCTCCTGGCCCCTGTGGCTGCTGTCCTAGGCACACAAACTGCCTGTGAAGGCAGTCTCAGTGGCCCTGGGCCAGATCCCAGGGTCCACAGTTACATTCTTCCATGTGCTATTGGCTGCTGTACCCCCTGTTGTGGCCCGTGGGGGACATTCTGGAGGGGAAGAAGCACACTTTGCCCTTCTGTATCCGTCTCAGTGCTGGTACTGACCCCCTGAGGTGGGCGATCGGTGCAGAAGGTAAGAGACAGCAAAGAGATTGGAAGAAAGCAGAGGAGACCAGGCAAGGCAGAGGGTGGCTGAGTTCCCCTGGTGAATCTGATCTCAACGCTCCAGGGATTGTTTCTGGAAGAATGCCCACTGTGTGTCAAGTCACGGCGCTGTCACGGTGTTCCTATCAGCACATCACTGTAGGTCTACACTCCAAAGGGGTAAATAGTTTCAAGGACAATAGTCCTGTCTTTCAAACACTTAACACAGACACTATTGTGTAAGTAAGTGAAATTATACATACTTTGTCCAGGGTCTACAGACACCACCTTCCTGATCGTTGAATGTCCCAGGACTACAGTCTTTACAACCTTGAAGAAAGATTGAAGCATTTTATCATTTCATAACCCTCCTTTGCACTGGCAAAGTCATTAACTTAGCATAACCTTGCACTGTTTTACAGTTCTTGAAACAGAACCCTGAGATCACCAATTGTACGTAGGGTATTGCATTTATCTAAAATGTGTAAAAAGGCATGGTTCTGACTATTAGCAAATGTCCTGATTTCAAATCATTTCTATTTATGGGAAAAAGTATATATCATTTTATTAATTAAAACATGGTGTTGATATCATGAACTTGAATATCATCACATGTTACTTTTAAGTTTCTGCATGATACACTTGCTCCACGTGACAAACTGGAATAGACACAGGAGGAGCAAACCTACCGTCTGCTGTCAGTTCCTGGCCTGGTTTACAATCTGGGTCACACATGGCACATCCTGCCCCCAAGCAGTGGAATCCTGAGATGCAGTCACACTCTGTGTCGCTGGTGAAGGAGCACGGCTTCTTGACCCTGTGGTAACCTGCAAGGTCCCAGGCCCCACTTGACCTCCACATCCAGGAAGCAAATTCATGTTCTTCAGCAAAAATCATGCCCCCGCTCCTCCCCACGTTCCCAATAGCACGTCTACTCTTGAACCTCCATAAAGACACTTTTGCACTTCGCTAATTGAAAGTTTCCCTCTTGTCAAGTGAACATTTCCTTTAAGATTTAAAAAGCCCCATAAGTAATAGCTTCTACACTAAGTACTTTTATTCGACCTGCCCACTGACTGAGGATTCCATGCCTTTGATACTTGACATATTAGATAGAGATCGAATAGAAAGTGGGGAACAAGAGTCTGCCCCCAGCCCGTCCCCCAGATGAAGGATGCACCTTTAACACACACCTTCACACTTCGTGCATATGTTGCAGGCTCTCTGTCCGCCTGTGCTGGAATAGCTGTTGGAAGGACAGGGAATGCAAGTCTGATTCTTGCTTTTTCCACAGAAAGTACCTAAAAGGCAGATAACAAATGTACGTGTTCAGCAATGAACAGTCACCACCCAAAGCATTATAAAGTTCACAAGAAAGTTAGGATTAAAGTATTGTTTGTCTTCTAGACATCTCAGTGATAGACATTATTTTGTTTATTGACTTTTAAAGATTATATATTGGCAAGATTTCCCTTAGCATAATCACAGAGTTAGAGAAAAATACAAATATTGTAACAAAGGAATCAATACAAGGAAAATACTTGCCTTTGTCTATTGAACAAGAAAGAATGATTTCTCATGATTGATCCAGGAGATCAATATGACTGCATCCAGGAGAAGATTAATGTCCTTCATAGGTCCACTAGGATTTGAATACATTTGACTTTTCACACTCTGCCAAGCCGACTAGCAACGGCTTACTCTCTGCTGTGGCCCAGGCTGAGCACAGGATCTTGTGCACAAACTAGCATGATGTGAGGTCCTGCCACACCATGCACTGTTCTACCCTATCTCTGCAGCCCCGCTCCAATGCAGGAGACAGATCCGTAGTCCCCAGATGACAAGGTCAAGACACAGAGTTAAATAAGAGGGCTGTGCTCACTCATCAGGTGTGTAGCATCCAATAGACATATGTAAGTGCATGAATACAAGGTCATTAAAAGGAGCCAGCCCTCACTGCCAGGCTAACTGAATCATGTTTTCAACAGGACACATCAACACACATGGGAATTTGGTACTTACCAGCTGGACAGATGCCACAAAGATCTTGCACTGATCTCGTTCTCTCAAAATTCATGACCAACAGCACAGTTGCCACCACGTTGTAATAGCCATTCCTCATGATGGAATCCTGCATGGAGCTGATGCTATGCTAGCATAGTAAATTCCAAAAGAATTCTGATGGAATGAGCCAGTCACACCAATGTCACTGTGTGAGATGTAACAAATCCCAAGGACAGGGGGCTTTCTTCTTCCAGAATAATCTTTATTTCAACCACTACTTATACCATTTCACAGGACTACAACTCAGGGTACTTTAGGAGCAACTAATAATGGAATATTATGGAAAAGTAGCAAATTCATAGACTTCTACAATAAGAAGTGTGACTAAACACAGCTTTGTGCATGTTTGCCAAAGAGTGAAATTTTCAACCTGTTCCACAAAAACTATGGCAAAAGCTCGCGGGACTCTCACAGATACAAGCATCAGCACCCAGATTTCAAAGCCAGTTAGTTGCTGCCTTGTGCAGAGCGGTCATTTGAACCATGGTCTGACTCCCTCAGGGCTGAGTAGCTGCCTGTGCAAAGGGGGTGGTCAATGTGGCCCAGTTGCTATGAGGACGCTGGCCAGAGGAGGCTACTGCAAAGGCACACAGTGTTATTAGTCGAGATCTTGAGCCTTGGGCACCAGCTCCCAGGGACAGAGAAGTCTAAGCATAACAAGATGACCCTGATGTCTCACCAGTCCTGCATCCCTCAGATTGCCTGCTTTGCTGAACTTTCCCACAAATAACTTTTTTTGAAAAAGTACCTTTATTTTATTTATTTATTTTTATGTGATGCTGAGGACAAACTCAGGGCCTTGCATGTGCTAATCGAGCACTCTACCGCTGAGCCCCAACCCCAGCCCCACAAATAACCTTTTTGATGAAACTTGTATAATAATGTGCTGAGCTAGCTCTGGGTCCGTCCTCCCTCATCAGCTTCCTCTATCTGTGAGTCTGTCTGTCTTTTCTTCATCCCCCATTGCCCCCATATGGTTCTGAATTGACCCAGGCACTGCCTCAGAGACAGAGTCCTCACAGAGAGTGGCACCTGTCAGTTGCATTCAACAAGAAGATACTTCAATTACTGTTCCTTCTTTGAGCATCTAATTGTTAATTTCATATATATATATATATATATATATATATATATATTGATGGATCTTTATTTTATTCATTTATTTATATGTGGTGCTGAGAATCGAACCCAGTACCTCCCACATGCCAGGCAAGTGCTCTCCACTGAGCTACCACCGGAGCCCTAATTGCTAACATTTTAAAGACCTCTCTTCTCAAGTCATCATCACATTTTCTTAAACCTAGGCATGAAAACTTGCCTATTGTGGAACTTGAAGCTTGTATAGTATCAACGCTAAGGAGTAAAGACAACTCTTCCTTTTTAAAATCTTTATATAGTTGGCTGTGGAATAGAAGGTATTCTAAATCAAAAGGGGAAAGATCTAGATATGTACAAGGAGAACCGTTTCCACCCTTACCCCGTCCTGGGTCCTCTGTCTAACCCCAGTGAACCTACCTTGTGATCTCAGAGGAGCAGAGAACTTTCCACTCTTGGGTACGGCAGCCAAGTGCTGCAGCTTGGGAGGACTGCAGGTCAAACAACAGGGTGACTCAGCCAGGCGGAGCTTCTTGGGAAGTCCCCACCACAGCTCCGATAGGGCTCATTTGTGTGCTGACCTCAAAATCCCCAGAGCCCCTGTCCCTTCTTGACTATGGCACTTCAGACCATTTCTTGGAAGTGGCTTCTACTGCTAGGACATTTCCCAAATGACTTTAGGAAAAGGATCTTGCCACTTAAAGCAGTGACTTATGTCAAAGCTTTCAGTGTGTCCTTAAAGTAGTCAAGATGGGAGGGATGAAACCGACTTCTGAAGACAGGGTTTTGCTCCACGCAGGACCTTGACTCCCTACTAGGGTGCTGCTCTGGCCATTGCCGGGTGTGCAGCTGGTGCAGTGGCACAGACCCGAGCCTTGGGGAGCCTGCGCAGTCCTGCAGGGCCGGTGGAGCGGGTATTACCCCTGTTATCATTGGGCAGCATCATACAAAAGAGAGCGCTGTCCGTCAGGCTGTCAGCAGGACAGGCAGCCGTTGTTAGAGCCGGGGCTACCGGCTCCGTTTTCCTGTGCTCCTCCTGTGTGACTGGGGAGGAAGGAGGGAGAATGAAGACAAAGGATCACAGTTCTCATATGGCGTTAGGTGACATTATTGGGCAAAGTAGAGATCCATGAGATATTTTTAGAAGTCCATGATTTTAAATCTTAAGAAAAGGAAGAGGGGCTGGGGCTGGGGCTGAGGCTCAGTGGCAGAGCGCTTGCCTGGCATGCATGAGGCACTGGGTTTGATCCTCAGCACCACATAAAAATTAACAAATAAAATAAATGCATTCTGTCCATCTACAACTACATCGCTATATTGTATGGCAAACTAAGAAAAAGGAAGAGGAGGAGAGGAAGGAGGAAAAGGAGGAGACGAAAAGAGAGAAGAAAGTAAGAGGAGGAAAGTGGAAGGAAGAAAAGGGGAGGAGGAGGAGGAGGAGGAGGAGGAGGAGGAGGGGGAAGAGGCTCTGGAGACTCTAAGATGACCCCCCCACCCCCCCACCAGGGGCGAGGCACCCTCAGGGAGATGGCTAGGAGAGCACTGGCTGAAGTGGGTCAGAAGGGTAATATCAAGAGTGGTTTTGACTAAAACAGACAGGCTTTATTAGGATCCAAACAGAAAAGAACTGCTTCCCCACAGGAGAATTGACCTGACCAGGAGGCAGGGAGAGGAGGCAGCTGGAATTCTACACCCCCATGTGCTAAAATTAACACAGTTTGGCTTCACTCCAAGCATGTCACTGTCCTTAGAAACTTTCACTGGCTTCCTGGTGCCCCAGATAAAACCTAGACCCTGTAGTCCAGGACTGAAGGACCTCCTGAATCTACCCTAAGCTTGCCTTTTAAAAAGCTAAGACTAAGTTCACATAACATAAAATTCAACATTTGAAAGTGTACCATCTGTTGGATTTTAGTATATTTACTATGCTGTACAACCATCACTACTAATTCCAGAACATTTCAACCAAGCAAGAAGAAACCCTGCCCCAACTAGCAATCACTCCCAGTCTCCCTACCCCAGCCCCCAGCACCCACTGATCTACTTTGACTCTATGAATTTGTATATTCTAGGAATGTCACTAAAACACAACCATACGATATGTGGCTTCTTTAATTTTACATAAAGTTTTCAAGTTTAATCATGTTGTAGCATGTCTTGGTATGGCTTTCCTTTTTGTGGCTCAATAATATTCCATTGCACATTTTGTTTATCCATTCATCAGTTGATGGACATTCAGGGTATTTTCACTTTGGGATCATTTGCTGCTGTGAATGGTCACATATAGGTTTTTGTGTGGACCTATATTCTCAGTTTTCTTAAGGGTGTCCTAGGAGATACATTGTTACATTATATGGCAATTGTTTCCCTTTTGGAGAAGTTGCCCAACCATTTTCCACAGCAGCTGCGCCTGCTTCACATTCCCACCAGTGACAAATGAGGGTTTCAGTTTCCCTGAATTAACAACAACAACAAATCATGGGCATCCTAGAAGGTGTGGCATGGTATCTCAATGCATTTTGATTAACTACCTGCATCCCAATTTTATCACATTTGTGTATCCTGTTCCAGGAGCAGCTGTGCGTGGAGCACAGTGTGTTGCTGTCAGGTGGACCTGGGCAGGTTTCTTAACCTCCTTAAATCCCAACTTTTTCACCCATTCCTTTCAGGCACAGCAATACTGACCATCCTCCTCGGTTATCTAGGGTTAGATGGAACAGTGAAGGTGGTGTTCCCAGCTCAATGCCTGGCATGTGGTTCAGAAGGAAAAGTAACTCTTAAGAGATTGTTTTTAGATGTTCCTTTTCCACTGTCCACATTGGCCATCAGTAAAGTCACAACAGGACAACATGGGGGAAGAGTTTTGGAATGCCCGGCTGCAGACCCTGAGAACCAATTGTCCTTTGATCTAGCCGGGTCACCTGCCTGACCTGGGCAGTGCTGGCTGCACGTAAGAGCATTGCACCAGGAGAATGAGCCTGCTGATTCCTCCTCGCCCTTCAGAGTCACCAGCTAACCCAGAGGCCCCTCATTGACATGTGTTCTGTGCTCGACCTGCGCAGCATGACATTTACAGGGCTGGATTCTCATTTAAGTAAATGCTACCTACTTGTCTACATTTGTATGTCTGTGGGCAGAGCTGTCACCCCCGCGGGAGTGACGGGAGTGACGTGGTTCTTGCTTAGCTCACTTTCTCAGGCTTGCAGGCTAGGGACACAAAAGTCTTCACTGAGCTCAAAGATTCTCAGAATTAGTTTTATCAGCCTACAGTTAAACCAGACCAACCACTTCAGGATTCTTCTACCCAAGGCTACACCCCACTTTATTCACCTCTCGGTAGTTTTGTGTGATAAAATCATCCTAGTAAGCTCCAGCAGACGATGCATCTAACCAGAATTACAGTCTCAGCCACCCAAAGGCACAGTATTCATTTAGTATGATTTTCATTTACTTTAAAATATGTATCCTATCATGTTACTCCACTATGCCTTCTGACCTTCCAGATGCTACAAAGTCATAGAACCTTCCCCAACTAAATCCGAGTGACTCCAATGAAACATCAACACTTTGGCAGTATTAAGATTATTAGTTGGGCTTGTGATTCAGCGGTAGAGCCTTGCCTAGCACGTGAGAGGCCCTGGGTTTGATCCTCAGCACCACATAAAAATAAGTAAAGGTGTTGTATCCAACTACAATTGAAAAATAAATATTTTTTAAAAAGTATCAGTTGAGAACTAATGCATTCTGAACATCTCATTCTAAGCCGAGGAATAGCTTTTGTTTAATTGTGATTGGCTCTGGGTCTAATGGAGAAGATCTCAAGGGAGTGTAACTTTGAGCTAAACAGCGTGAGGACTTGACTACTCTAAACAAAATAATGATATCTAGAAAAACAGCCCCTCAAAGCAAGCAGCCTAAAAGACATGCCCCTGTCCTCCCGGGGCGCACCGTGGAGGCACCCGCTCTGTGGAATAGTCCTGCTCCCACTGCGCATCCTCCGGAAGATCTACCCTCCAGAGGCCCGTCCCTGCCGCCTGCCCCAAGCACTGCTGGACTCACACAGTGCTTGAGGTGCCAGTGGGTGCACTGAGGCCTGGGAAGGGGAAAATGAAAGGGACCTAGGAAACAGGAGAAAGAGCAGGAAATGGGGGGGGGCAGTGGGAGGGGAGCACCGGTTAAGGAAAGGTGGAGTGCCAGCAGCCGTTGAACCTGGGGCTTCTCCCCCTTGTTTGGCACATTCCTGTGTGGAGTCCATTTATATGTCCTTGTCTCGAATACTTCAGAGCACCCACCACTCTGCAGTGCCCAGAACAGAGCACTGGGAGAAGCCGGCACGCTGTGTCCAAACAGTTAAAAGTTACACATCCAACCAGCGCCGTGGCGCACGCCTGTAATTCCAGCAGCTTGGGAGGCTGAGGCAGGAGGACCATAAGTTCAAAGCCAGCCTCAGCAACTTAGCGGAGCCCTAAGCAATTCAGTGAGATCCCCTCTCTAAATAAAATACAAAAAAGTGACTGGGGATGTGGCTCAGTGGTTAAGTGCCCATGTTCAACCCCCAGTACCAAAAAAAAAAAAAAAAAGAGTTACACATCAAGTGAAATATGTTGCTAAAGAAAATGCATGCTCTCCAGCACAGGGCCCACGAATCACATGCACACACACGCACAGACACGCACACACACACGCACACACATGCACAAACTCACAATGAATGTGTGACTGGGGACATCCAACTTTAAACATGGACGCCATCTGCTCTGGGGACCCCTGTGGTCAGGCCACTAGCAAATATTTCAGCATGTCCATGTGTCTGGGAAACAGCATGTGATGGCAGCTCCCCTTGGCGAGGGCTGTGGGCTGTGCAGCTGCCAACACCAAGCCAGGGAAGGTGTGCGCCAGAGCACCAGGGAGGGACGGGGACACGAGTCGCCCGAACCCTGGCAGACACCAAGGCTGTGACCGATTCCTGCAATCTCTTCTTATGAGATGTTATGGAAGTCATAGTTCCCAGAAATCTCAAGTGGACATTTTCTTGATCCTACTTATGTATTTGGCTCTAGAAGACCTTTGAGCCATGGAATTCCTAACAGTTGCAAATGGACTTAGAGGAACACTGTGATATCAAACCATTCTTACTACTCTTGAGTAAGCATAGATGCAATACAGTCTAAGAAACCCAATACTAATTACACATGAGCATCACCTGGAATGACTCTAAGCCCCAGAATTTAAAAATAATTCTAATTTTTAAATAACAATACAATTTAAGTAAATTTAAAAACAAAAATCTCAGATTATTTAAATATTTGCTTTTTATCCAGTTTATATTTTTAATCTTACTAGGTAGGTATGGGGGTGTGAAGGATAGTAGAGTGAATCAGACATTACCCTATGCACATATATGACTACACAACTGGGGTGATTCTGTACCAGAAGAAAGAGAAAATATATTCCATTAATGAATGATATATCAAAGTGAATTCTACGGTCATATATATCTAATTAAAACAAATAAGAAATACAAAAAACAGAAAAATTAATAGGGAATTTTGAAATCTTTAGAAGAATAGCTTTTAAAAAATAAAAAACAGCTGGGTGCAGTGGTGTAGGCCTATAATCCCAGCGGCTTGGGAGGCTGAGGCAGGAGGATTGCGAGTTCAAAGCCAGCGTCAGCAACATCGAGGCAAGGTGCTAAGCAACTCAGTGAGACCCTGTCTCTAAATAAAATACAAAATAGGGCTGGGGATGTGGCTCAGTGGTTCAGTGCTCTGAGTTCAATCCCCAGCACCCCACCAAAAAATGAAAAACAATTTTAATTCAGAAATTGTACATAAACTCATAATTTACTTTAAACAAATACATTCTGTGCACACTGAGTATATTTTATTTTTTTAGTCCTTTAAGGCATTACTATTACCAAAACACAAATTAAAAGAAATTCTTTCTTTCAATGCACAA